GTTTCAGGTACTTCCGGTAGCAAGGGGAAGTGCTCGGGATGACTGTAGTGCACACACCATGATTTTAGCCTGGGATGTTTTTACTCTGATATGTTTCGACAGATGTTTATGATGTGTTGAGAAACAATAACTTATGATGTTTAATAGCTATGGTTTTATTAATAATTAAAAATGAAATTTTTGGACCGTATTTTTGGGATGTTTCAAGTAACCATCTCCATCCAAATCAACCCCTAAAACCCATCATAAACACCGTCTGGAATGTGATCACCTCTTCATCTCTATTGTCGATGGAGAAGATTTGGGTTCGATCTGAACTCGTTTCTCTGATCTGGATCTCCGTCCTCCTCGACTTATAAGTTTAGGGTTTATTTAGGATTTCAATTGTAGGTTTAGGATTCATTTTTTGAGGTTTGAGTGATGATTGGTGGTCAGTGTGAGAGAGCGAGAGATATGACCGCTTGAATTCAAAGAAGAAGAAGAAAGGAAATTGGGGGAAGGTTAAATTGCAACTTCCTTATCTCTTTTCAATCTTCTAATTTGCTGCAAACCGAGAATAATAAAAATGAAAGGCTACTTAGGGTTGAGTGGAGATATGATATGGTGGTGGTGATTGTGGTGTTATTGATGATTCCACCGTCGATGGTGGTATTGTTGATAATTCCATGTACAATCCCTTCTTGAGTTATAGGGTTTGATAGAGGTTATCGGAGGAGGAGGAATATCGATTGGTCCGATTTTGGTTTATCTCTTTTAGGTGAAGGTGAAGGTGAATGTGGGGGTGATGGGGCTTCGTTGGCATCGGGAGTGGCTGAGAATGGAGGGACAAAGGTAGAGGAAGATATAAGAGGGGGAAGGGGGAGGGGTGGGTACTTGTATGTATATTTATTTATTTTTTTATTTTCTTGTATGTCAACAAAAAATGATAGATTATATTTGAAGGGTTTGAAGAGTTATGTGAGTGGTTATATAGACGTAAGAAAGCAATTGCAACTTTTCCAAATATAAACTAACGTAATCTCAAATTGGGTGCATGTAAAGTTTTAGATATTAACCGATGTTTAAATTTAGGTATGTTTGTAAATGTATACTTGATATTATTTTTTAAGTTTATGTGTTATGCATCTTTCTATAATCACAGAATGATGAAGTGAGATTGATAATTACTTCTAATGAGCTTTGATAAATCAACGATCAAGCCATTTATCCGTTAGAGCAATTAACTTTGTTAACATGTATGTATCTTTATGTTGCCTCTCTTTTTTATGTTAAGAAAATATATTTTATGTAAAATAGAACATTATTCAATATGTATTTTATGCTATGTATGTACTATGTTAGTTTCTATCGTTTATTTTGTTGTAAATAATATCGATAGAGTTTTTTATAATTGATTTTGATGAAAAGAGTTTACAATTATTATTCCAAACTGTTGGTGATAATGACGAATTAGAACGAATGATTTTTAATATGATGTGACTTTATTGTTGAAAATCAATAATTATGTGTGTTAGAAAAATGAATTCTTTATGTTCTACCAAAACTTATGTGGATGTACCCAATTTTAAATGTTTTTATAGTACTAAATTAATTTATCTTATTACATTTGTCAATTTTCTTTTTCCATATTCGTTCTATAGAAAAATAAACAAAATATTAATATTTTCATAAGAAATTATAAGTGGTAAAAATATACCTCAAATGTTACACTCGTCCTCCCTTAAGTCACTCTTAACATTTTTTTTTTTAAATTGGTCACAGTACATAACAATTACTATAGTTTTAAATTCAAATCATCATTTTATTAGACAATTCATTTTCTTCCAATATTTCATTGCTTTAAAGAAAAACTGAAAGTGCAATAAAAACATTTGATAGCTTATTATTATTATTATTATTATTATTATTATTATTATTATAATGAAAATTTTCAAATAAATAGTTTTTAATTAGTAGAAAGTAATAATTTTGTTTAAAATAACATAAAAGTAAAGAATAGATTATATTGTATTTAAAAATTATTGTTATTTGAAATAATAATAATAATAATAATAATAATAATAATAATAATAATAATAATAATAATAATAATAATAATATAGGAAATAAAAATATTCCAATAAGTTATTTATAAATTGATATAAAATAATTTTAAATCAAAAACTTTATACAATTTGATTCAAATACAACTTTGTATATCTTTTCTTATCGTATACTTAAAATTATTATAATATTAGTTACAACTTAGTATAAAAATTATTATTTCAATGATAATTACTTATAATATTGTTTTTATAACATATAATTGTTAATATTTATATCACATTCTTGGGCACAAATTAATAGTTTAAAACTCTCACTATAACTCAATAGTTTTTTTATTTAAATGTAATTATGATTTCAAATTTAATGTAATTTGTTTTTATATTTTCCACTACATTCAAAAGTTTTTTAAACTTATGGCTATTAATGTGCAATGTTTTTTTATTTTCCACTTATTTATTATATACATTGTAGCTATATTCACTATATACAAGTAACTTTTGATTAAAAAAATCATATATTTGAAAAGATTTGTTATTCAAAATGAAAGAGTTGAAAAAAAAATTGTCGCATCAATGGTTATTTCAACAAAAAAAAATTATAACAATGTTTATATATATCAAATGTATGTTGATTTTCAAATATTCATTTTGAATGATTTATAAGTTTTTAATAAGTTTTGTTTGATGTAAATGATATAATGTTGTAATATTTTTATTTTATTAAAAGCTATAGTGTTTTTCATGGTATTTGTTATTTGTTTATATACAAATCTACATAGGTTTTATGTATAATTTTCACAACTTAAAATGTTCTATAAAATCATCAAAAGTTGTAATATTTATTTTTTCATACAACTTTGTTTTTTTATACATAGAAATCAATATACATTTGATATATAATTTGCACAACATAAAACGGTCTATAAAATCATGAATTAATAGTGAAAATAACTAATGATATAACTTTATTAAAATTAATAAAACTAATGTTTTAACCATAGAGTTTGTTTTGCTATTGACATTGGTTTTACATACATAAGTATTAAATCACAATTTGTTAAAATGTTATTATTTTAATTAAATAGTTATGTTCACGCGCAACGTGCGAGGATTCAACTAGTATATATATAGCTAGGTTCAAATGTGGATTGACATCTATTGTGTGGATGTGTAGACAATGTTATTATGTGAGAATAACAAAGAAAATATGTTGTTTGATAATATGAATATGCTTAATCTTACATAACTATTGTCATTATCACACATTCTCACTAATTAAATCGTTTATAATGTTATTATAGACTTTTATTATTATTATTTTCATTCTGTCAGAATGTTTATAGAGTCGTATTCTGTAAGAATGAAAATGAGAAAAAAAAACTATCCGTGAGAACAAAAAAATAAAAATGAGTGAGAATGCACGAAAATGACGATAGTTGAATGTATTCACATTAACAAACAACATATTCTCTTAGTAATTCTCATAAAATAACATTGTTCACATATCTGCAAAATAATTGTTCATCCACATTATAACCTAGACTTATATGTCCGTATAATAGTTATTCTTTCATATTATAACCTAAACTTATATATATATATATATATATATATATATATATATATATATATATATATATATATATATATATCCTATAATAAATGAAGGTTTTTTTGCCACATGTCATCTTCTCATTCATTTGGACACATGACATTTTCTAGAATTTTTAAAATTTCTATTTTCCACTTGTCGTTTTATTGTATTTTTTATTTTATTAAATTAAAATTCCACATTTAATGTGTAAGGTAATATATATGTAAAGTATTAATTAGAAAGAGTTTATATATGTAATGTATTCAATACATTAAAGTGTCATTAATTTTAATAATTTAATTTTTTATCATTTTTCTTTTAAATTCAAACGTGTCAAATTGTTAAAAATTTATATTTGTTTTTTTAATTAAACTCATGTAATACATGGATCTCACACCTAGTATTCTAATATAAGAATATGTTTATTCTCTTATTGACAAGTGTCATATTATTAGAAGTCCTTATTAATATTATATGTCACATATTAAGCCACTTATCAACCTACTAATTATTCATTTTAAATTTCAAATTTTCTTACATTAATTATATTAAATTAATGGCATTAGATTAAAAAATAAAATAAAAGTTAATACATATAATAAGGTGAGTTCATGTATTTATTTAAATTAACAATAATACTTTTATATAGCTAAAATAATATCTATTAAGTAATAATTTATTTAAAATAATTGATTAATAATTTTAATTTTTTAATAGAAAAAGATTATTAATTTTATAACCGTGGTTTTATATATATATATATATATATATATATATATATATATATATATATATATATATATATATATATACACACACACACACACACACACACACACTTTAAATTAGAGAAAATTCGGACAGTAACCGAAAAAGGAGGTTGGTTTGAAGAAAATAACCAAGATAAAATGGATTTCGGAAAATGATAAAAGGATATGCAGAGCACCCTCTGCGGATCTCTCTACAGCTCTGCAGATCCCTATACAGCTCTGCGGAATGTGGGTTTTTTTAATTTTTTAATTTTTTCTTCATTTTTTTGTTTTTTTTTTGTTCATTTTCGTTTATTAATATTATTTTTTTTTTTAAATTTTTTTTAAATACACTAATACCTTATGTGATTATTATGTAAAAAATTGACAAAAAAAGATTAAAAATAATGAAATATTTTATGTAATACGTTTGTTACCGGTGCATATAAATAACCTAATTAAAATTATACAAATATTCCATGTCTTTTATAGGTTAGAAAACATACTTTAGAAAACCTAAACATACAACCTTCACAATAAACATACTATGAAATAAACTCCATTCATTCAAATCGAACCACAAAAACTTTAATTTGTTTTCGTATTCCGCCCATGGGTTTTCTGTTACTTGTGTCACTAGGTTTACTATCGCTTGCATCCATTAATTATGTGGTTGTTGCTGCCATTGGTACTCGGTGCAACCCTGCCATTGGTTATGTGGCTCTTCATGCGGTCGGTATTCAGTCTGTTGCGTCCATTGGTTATGTGGCTCCTTCTGCCATTAATATTCGGTCTCTTGTGTCCATTGGTTGCCTGGCTGCTCCTGCCATTGATGTTCATTATGTTGTGCCCATTGGTTGTTTGGGTGCTGCTGTAATTGTTGTTCGGTATGTTGCGTCCATTGGTTCTCTGGCTCATGCTGCCATTGGTTTTCGGTCGCTTGCTTCGGTTACCTCTTCTTTCGCTTTTGTCCCACTCCCTGATACCCCCGTACGTTTTTTTACTTTTACTTTGGTTATTTGGAACGATTTCCTTACACATCCTTGCTTTATAAGTTGTGGTATGGCATCTACTACACCTTCTTATTTTTGGTTCTTCACCTTGAGAGGGAATACGGTTGGTGTTTTTTGGTCTACTGGCTTGACTTATTTCCATTACAGGAGGGTTAACAACCATGGTCATTCGGAACCTCCCAATCACTAAGTTCTGAAAGAGGGTATACTGCCTGCTCATATGTTCTTTGATATGTTTCAGATTTATAAGCATCTATAGCCATATGCCCACAATGATCAATTTCCAAGTGCATTAAAACCATTATCACATGACCACATGACAAATCAGTTAGTTGCCAATATCTACAAGAACAAGTCTTTTCCCTCAAATTCACTATGCCACTACTTTTGAAGTCATGCACTTGATATGTTGTATTATCAACATCGGATACCGACCATCCTTGAATCCCCTCTTTATTATTTTAACCATATCTTCAGCCCACTTCGTAAGTATTGTTGTACTTTTTTCTATTAAAACAAACATATATTATTATATATGACATTTATCATATAATTTAAAAATAAACATAATCATACCTGCAACCATCCACCGTTTGTAAAACCATTTATGCATAAGTGCGCGAAAGAACTCAAGAAGTGGTAACATAGGCAACTTCCTTGCTTTATTTGATACAACATTCATGGACTCCGCACTATTTGAGGTCATATAATCATACCTCGTGGTAGGGCAATACGCCCTGGTCCATTTCTCACGTGGAATTTGACTGAGATATGTCGCTACATCATCTCTTATATTACGAAGTCTCTCCCAATAGAATTCAAACTCAGTGGTTTTTTAAGCTCTTACCAGCTTCCAAAACAAAGTTGTTGTTTTTTTATTTTTTCCAAAGGTGTGGACTATGTTTCCTATTAGATGAAAAGCACACAATCCATGTTGAGCATTTGAAAAAAAACATTTTAAATACTTACAACAATTGTGGGTGCCCTATCTGTGATCATTATCAGACCTTCCACATCACCAATGCATTCATGTAGTTTTTCAAGAAACGATGTCCAAGAATATGTAGTCTCTTTTGGGCAAATTCCATACCCAATAGGCAAGATCTGATTGTTGCCATCCATGGTCACTACATGCAAGATGGTGCCTTTGTACTTTCCCTTCAAATGAGCACCATCCATAATAATAATTTTTCTATAGTACTCTCTGAAAGCATGTATCTGCAACAACAATATAAAACCATTAATATATCAACAATATAATTTGTTTATAAACATTTAAGAAAATAACAAATATATTTAAAAATATATTACCGCGCATCCAATAGCAAAAAAGCAATACTCAAAACAATCCTCCGAATAAGTTTTTATGTACGCCACAGTACCAGGATTATGTTTCTTCAGATTGTAAAAATAAACTGGAAGTTTGGAGAAACTTCCTTCGGGGGTCCCCATCATCAATCCCATAGCAAATTCTCTAGCATGCGATGCTTGTGAATAACTTATATTTATTTGTAGCAAAGCATTCATATCTCTAATTATATCTTTAGGCTTCCAAACTTTCAAACTTCCTTGACCCATAATGTCATCTATTATGGTTCCCAAAACTTCGCTATTTTCTTGCATATGATTTGGGGTGTATAAGCAATGAAGAACATGTATGCTCGTCATTAAACGTCTTAATTTCAAATATTTTTATTCCTTCAATGATAGATGCATATAAACGCCAATGACAATTTTCTTGCATACAAACAACCTGATACCGAGATTTTGAAGATTTTGCAACCTTTATCTAAAACTTTTCTCTATCAGCTTTCAATTTAACAGCAAACGCTAGCTCTTTTTTGGTGTTATAGGTTTGATTGAAAATTAATTTATCATTCAGACCTAAACTGTGAAATGGTCCAAGTTTAAGAATAGGTTCTGGACAATCAGGAATAGAAGGAATACAATATCATGGATTAAAAGCATTTTTCTGTTTCGTGTACTCATCATCCGACCACCCTTCATTTGATTTTTCCTCACATCTTTGATTATCAACTTCAGGAACTTCTCCAAACTCGAACAAATTATGACGTTGTAATTCAGTCATGCCCACTTTTGCTTCTTTATCATTATCTGATACAAAAGTATCATTATCAGACACAAACTTATCAGTAACTGAAACTTTTTTTTCATAACCCACTGGTACTTCATTTCCTCTTCCCCTTGAACGGTTTCCATCACATTGGCTTTCGCTATGACCTCTATTAGTTTTTGTTGGATTAAAGTGGTTGTTAACCACTGCTTGTTCTTCAGCTTCTTCACCTACCACCGTTACATACAAATGCACCTTCTTCTTTGATTTAGACATTACATGTCTTAATTGAAATACATAAGTTTCATCTCCAAGCTCCATGACGTACCTTAACTTCGGGTGATTAAAAGACAAATATATATGACTATTTAGCACATCTTCCTTACTTGTAACCATTTGTAATAACATTTCATGATCAATGTTAGGAGGAAGATTTAAACCATAGTTTTTCACATTATTTCTAACTTAAACTTCATCTCCATTAACTAACTGCCAAGACCCACCCGTACACAAAATAATAAAACTCATTTTACAAATCACTCTCCGCAAACACAATGAAAAAACAACTTCTACTGGTAATTGAAACTCACAAACTCACAAAAACCCACTAAAATACGCCTATAACTTTTATAATTGATCCGCAGAGGTGTATACTGATCCGAAGAGGTGTACACAGATTGTCAGATGTGTACATTGATCCGTAGAAGTGTACACTGATCCGCAAATGTGTACACTGATCCACTGATAATAGTTATGTGGATTCCGAAACAGTTATATGGACTGATATTAAACATAAGTTCGTTATTTTTAACCTTTTTTTTTGTCAAAATTTTTACATAAATATAAGTATTAGTGTATTAAAAAAATTAATATTAATAAACGAAAACAAAAAATAGAAAAAAACGAAAAAATAAAAATCAAAAAAACTCAAGATCCGCAGAGGTATTTCGGTTCCTCAGAGGCAAACGTATTACATAAAACATTTCATTATTTTTAATATTTTTTTGTTAATTTTTTTACATAATAATCACATAAGGTATTAGTACATTTAAAAAAGAATAAAAAAAATAATATTAATAAATGAAAATAAACGCAAAAAAAATATAATAAAATAAAAAAACTCACATTCTGCAGAGCTGTAGAGAGATACGCAAAACTGTAAAGAGAGGTGCCCGGATCCTTTTATCATTTTCCAAAATCGGTTTTTTGTTAGTTATTTTCTTTCAAACCAACGTCTGTCGTCCGCAATTTCTCTTTAAATTATCATCGCTTGGTACAAATCTAAATTAAAACTGTTGCCGTCAAATGGGACCAAGTCACCATACTTGGTCATGGTGGCCTCAACTTCCTTGAAAAGGAAAAGAAATTTTAAAAAAATCTTACTGTCATAACGTGGGGCCTTTGTTTTTTATGTGTCGTCAATATTTGACTTGGTCAACGGCCATTACTATCCGCCAGCCAATGGTTACGGAAAACGAAGGGCTGTGCGCTTCGAGGTATCAAAAGACCACATATGTAGCGCGTCATTCTCACTTCCATTTTAAGCCTCTTATAAATTAATTATATAGTATTTCATAATTTTACAATGTGATTGTTTGTTTAATTAAAAAAAATTCAAGTTAATGAATGAAACAATTTTTAATTCTAGAACTTCTAGAAAGCGACGAAGACATCAAGGTTTCGTCAAACATTCCGTCGATACGGCGGCTAAAGTTTGTTAATAATTGCAAACGTACAAATACAATTTTAACGTAAGTTTAATTGATTGATTTTAACAAATGATTATCTTATCCGTTTTAATATGAATAGAAATTGAAGTTCTTACTTTTAGCTTATCCATAATCAGGCATGTCCTAGAGGGTAGGCGAAAAAGATTAGTGATTTTGCATCTCAAAAACTAGAAGAAATATTTAAAAAAAATACATATATGAGTTTTTATAATCGAAAATGTTATATTTAAATACTCAGTTATTAAAGTTAATATAAAAACAATTGATAAACTAAAAAATTACCCCTTATTCTTATATCGGGCTCGAACGGATTCTTTCATTACCAAAAATATCTCCAAATCTTCGCCTTCGAGTTCGTTCGCTTTCATCTTCAAAATCTTCACATCTGTTTTTGTTTGAAGCATCGTTCGTGTCTCTTGAAATGACGTTTGCGCTTCTATCATTTTCTGTTCCACCTGATTCAACATCTTCGCCTTGGTTGATAACGCTAGATCCCGAAGCCGACGAACCCACATTTTTTGCTTTATTTCTTCCAGTGGACTGATGAAGAGGTTGCTCGTCTTCAAGATCTATTAGATCATCGTTGATGTCGATGTGTGTTCACCCATCCGATTGTTCGGAAAATGCATCGGGGTTTCTTGAACGCTTTGAACCGAAAGAGCTTTTTCCTTCCATTTCTTCTTTCCATTTTGGAGTCTTTTTCAATTTTAGCCACGATTTCACATATGGAAAAACTTTATGGGTTGGCGATGTTTTTTCAATATGTTTCTAAGCCGCTTTAAAGACATCTAAATCGTTTAACCCGCTTTTGAGGTTGTTGTAAATTTGATCGGGATTTTGACTTTCACTTCCTATTAACGCATAGAACACGCTTCTCAGTTTCTCATATAACCAATTGAAGGATTGACTATCTCCTTCAACTGGGTCTTGTGAAGTTAACACAGATGCCTTCGCTAACGTTTCTTCTTCCTCTTTTATCCATGGAACCCTATCGGTTGTATTGGTTCGAATGAGTTTTTATTGTTGGATTTGGTGTTTAAGCTCATAATTATAATCGGGATGTACTTGACCCGATTGTAGCATGGTCCTTTTAGGTTGCCTTCACCAGTGCAATTTGATAGGATGGACTTTGAGAATAAGGTTATTTATGATTTATTAATATATTACAAGTATAACATATTAATATGAAATTATATTATTTAATTAGTATTGATCAAGAATTAATTTTGTGGTCAAAATAGACTAATTAAATATTTGGGGATTGATTATGTAAATCAATGATTTTTATAGTGTGGGCCAATAATCCATGACTATTTAGATGACTAAACCAATAAGATAATCCATGGAGGTTA